AGAACTTTTTGTCTATTTATTCAATAGTTAATAAATATTTCATGAGTGAATAGAACTGTTTATAAATGTCAAATGAAATGCAATCTCTTTGAGTACTTTTCCTTATACTAACTAGAGTATTTCTTTTTCACTTTGGCAAGAGGGAAGGGAGCCAACTTATTTTTCTTCTATCTTTTTTTTAAATTTTTTTCTTTTTAGTTGTAGATGAACACAATACCTTTATTTTATTTGTTTTTGTTTTTATTTATTTTTATTTTTATTTTTTTTTTAATTTTTTATTGTTGGTTGTTCAAAACATTACAAATTTCTTGACATATCATATTCCACACTTTGATTCAAGTGGGTTATGAACTCCCACCTTCACCCCATACACAGATTGCAGAATCACATCAGTTACACATCCATTGATTTACATATTGCCATACTAGTGTCTGTTGTGCTCCGCTGCCTTTCCCATCCTCCACCCTCCCCCCTCCCCACCTCTCCCCTCCCCTCCCCTCCTCTCTCTCTACCCCCTCCACTGTATAACCCTGAGGGTTCCATTTCCATGCAATTTCCCTTCTCTCTCCCTTTCCCTCCCACCTCTCATCCCTGTTAAATGTTAATCTTCTTCTCCTGCTCTTCGTCCCTACCCTGATCTTAGTTACTCTCCTTATATCAAAGAAGACATTTGGCATTTGTTTTTTAGGGATTGGCTAGCTTCACTTAGCATAATCTGCTCTAATGCCATCCATTTCCCTGTAAATTCTATGATTTTGTCATTTTTTAATGCAGAGTAATACTCCATTGTGTATAAATGCCACATTTTTTTTATCCATTCGTCTATTGAAGGGCATCTAGGTTGGTTCCACAGTCTTGCTATTGTGGATTGTGCTGCTATGAACATCGATGTAGCAGTGTCCCTGTAGCATGCTCTTTTTAGGTCTTTAGGGAATAGACCAAGAAGGGGAATAGCTGGGTCAAATGGTGGCTCCATTCCCAGCTTTCCAAGAAATCTCCATACTGCTTTCCAAATTGGCTGCACCAATCTGCAGTCCCACCAGCAATGTACAAGTGTACCCTTTTCCCCACATCCTCGCCAGCACTTGTTGTTGTTTGACTTCATAATGGCTGCCAATCTTACTGGAGTGAGATGGTATCTTAGGGTGGTTTTGATTTGCATTTCTCTGACAGCTAGAGATGTTGAGCATTTTTTCATGTACTTGTTGATTGACTGTATGTCCTCCTCTGAGAAGTGTCTGTTCAGGTCCTTGGCCCATTTGTTGATTGGGTTGTTTGTTCTCTTACTGTCTAATTTTTGGAGTTCTTTGTATACTCTGGATATTAGGGCTCTATCTGAAGTGTGAGGACTAAAGATTTGTTCCCAGGGTGTAGGCGCCCTATTTACCTCTCTTATTGTTTCTTTTGCTGAGAAAAAACTTTTTAGTTTGAGTAAGTCCCATTTGTTGATTCTAGTTATTAACTTTTGTGCTATGGGTGTCCTATTGAGGAATTTGGAGCCCGACCCCACTGAATGTAGATCGTAGCCAACTTTTTCTTCTATCAGACGGCGCGTCTCTGATTTGATATCAAGCTCCTTGATCCATTTTGAATTAACTTTTGTGCATGGCGAGAGAAAGGGATTCAGTTTCATTTTGTTGCATATGGATTTTCAGTTTTCCCAGCACCATTTGTTGAAGATGCTATCCTTCCTCCATTGCATGCTTTTAGCCCTTTTATCAAATATAAGATAGTTGTAGTTTTGTGGATTGGTTTCTGTGTCCTCTATTCTGTACCATTGGTCCACCCGCCTGTTTTGGTACCAGTACCATGCTGTTTTTGTTACTATTGCTCTGTAGTATAGTTTGAAGTCTGGTATCGCTATACCGCCTGATTCACACTTCCTGCTTAGCATTGTTTTTGCTATTCTGGGTCTTTTATTTTTCCATATGAATTTCATGATTGCTTTCTCTATTTCTACAAGAAATGCTGTTGGGATTTTGATTGGCATTGCATTAAACCTATAGAGAACTTTTGGTGATATCGCCATTTTGATGATGTTAGTTCTGCCTATCCATGAACAGGGTATATTTTTCCATCTTCTAAGATCTTCTTCTATTTCTCTCTTTAGGGTTCTGTAGTTTTCATTGTATAAGTCTTTCACCTCTTTTGTTAGGTTGATTCCCAAGTATTTTATTTTTTTTTGAAGATATTGTGAATGGAGTGGTTGTCCTCATTTCCATTTCAGAGGATTTGTCGCTGATATACAGGAATGCCTTTGATTTATGCGTGTTGATTTTATATCCTGCCACTTTGCTGAATTCATTTATTAGCTCTAATAGTTTCTTTGTAGAGCCTTTTGGGTCTGCTAGGTATAGAATCATATCATCTGCAAATAGTGATAATTTAAGTTCTTCTTTTCCTATTTTTATGCCTTTAATTTCTTTCGTCTGTCTAATTGCTCTGGCCAGTGTTTCGAGAACTATATTGAACAGAAGTGGAGAGAGAGGGCATCCCTGTCTTGTTCCAGATTTTAGAGGGAATGCCATTTTTATGTGGTGCCAGAGATTGAACCCAGTGCCTCATGCATGCTAGGCAAGTGCTCTACCACTGAGCCACAACCCTGATCCATTCTTCTATCTTTTTAAGAAAAATATTTAATAAAGTATACTGTAATGCAAAAAATTGATGATCAGCTTGGTTAATTTTCACTAACTGAATGCTTTTGTGTAAATATTACCAAGATCAAGAAACAGGAGAAACAGGCCTAAACTTTTAAAAGTAATATTTCAGAAAAGTCATTTTCATATAATTTGGTGTGAGTCTTACTCTGTAGTGACTCAGATGTGGTAGTTAAATATTTGCCAGCAAGGTGACTGTAAAATATTAGCTGCACATGAATTTTTCCTTTGAAGACATGATTAATGTCAGATTTTTTATAGTGCTGGAGCCCATGGCCAGTGATTACATGACACTCATGAATAGTGTTGCTAACGGTTCATATCCTAGGGGTGTGAGGTAATGAATTTTTTACTGAACTCTAAATCCATGCTTAAAAGTATGTCTAAATTCTTCATCAATTTCTACCCACAGAAAAGGCAACATGGAGTATGCTGAACTTTAAAGTTTAGAGTCATGTTATTGCTTTCTCTAGTTCCATTCAATAATTCACTTTTGACTTTTTTTTTGACTTTTTTTTGACTTTTGTAGAGCAAGTGTTGGCAAACGTTTTTCTTAAAGGACCAGGTACTAAATATTTTAGGCTTGCAGATGATACTATATGTCACAACTACTCAGCTCTGCTGGTGTAGTGTGAAAGCAGCTATAGACAGTACATAAAAGATTGGGAGTGGCTGTGTTCCAGCAAAACTTTATTTACAAAAACAGGTAGACTACAGGCTGGGGTTGTGGCTCAGTGGTAGAGCGCTTGCCTAGCATGTGTGAGGCACTGAGTCCAACTCTCAGCACTGTGTAAAAATAAACAAACAACCTGGTGCAGTGGCACACGCGTATAATCCCAGCTGCTTGGAAGGCTGAGACAGGAGAATTGTGAGTTGAAAGCAAGCCTCAGCAATAGCAAGGCACTGAACAACTCAGTGAGACTGTTTCTCTAAATAAAATACAAAATAGGGCTGGGGATGTGGCTCATCAGTGGAGTGCCCCTGAGTTCAGTCCCTGGTACCCCCCAAAATAAATAAATAAACAAACAATATAAAGGCATCATGTCCATCTACAATTAAAAAATAAAGAAAGAAATAAAAAATAAAACAAAAAAAAAACCCTAGGTAGACAGAGTTTGCTGACCCCAATCTAGAATACGACCTCAACAGATGGATGCTCAATAGACTATCATAGGGGAATTGACCATTCAGTAACTTAATTAACAAATTACTGAGTGGGTGCTACTTGCCAAACTGAGGACTAGGCTGTTAATTAAATTATAGTATACCTGGGCTGGGCTGGAGTTCTAGTTCAGTGATACAGTTTTTATTCTGTATGTGCAAGGATGTAGGTTTGAACCACAGCACACACACCCCCCCCCCTAAAAAAAGGTATGTCTACTCACTGGAACTCGAGACATTGAAAATGATAATTTTTAAGACTTTTTTTATATGAGAGAAAATGCTTTTAGGTGGGAAATCAAGATAAAAAATTTATATCTTAATAAGTATGGACTGATACTTAAAGAAACATATAAAGTTTTGTTAGGTAGGAAGACGATGGACAATTCTTTTCTGCTTTTCAAATTGTCCTTAGGATTTTTGCATTCCAAAAATAACTAAAAGTGACCTAATGAGATTCCAGTTAAAACTTGTTTTCATTGCTGTTATATATAGATTGAACATACCTAATCTGAAATCCAAAATATTCCAAAAGTCTAAAGCTTTTTGATCATGGACATGATGCCAAAAGTAGAGAAATCCATGCCTGATCTCATGTGACAGGTTGTATTAAAACACAGGCACACTAAATATATTGTATAAAATTACTTTCAAGCTGGGTATAGTGGTTAATGTTTGTAATCCCAGCAGCTTGAGAGGCTGAAGCCGGAAGATTGTAAGTTTGAAGCCAACCTTAATAATTTTAGCGAGACTCTGAGCAATTAGCAAGACCCTGTCTCAAAATAAAATAAATTAATTAAAAGAGCTGGGGCTATTTAGCTCAGTGGTAAAGTGCCCCTAGGTTAAATCCCTAGTATATAAAAACCTTCAAAGTATGTGTATAAGGTATATATGGAACAATTTTGTATTTAGACTTGGGTACCATTCCCAAGATATTTTATTGCATATATGTGAATATTCCAAAATCTGAAGAAGAAAGAAATCCTAATCATTTCTGATTTCAAGCATTTTAGATAAGGGATGCTCATTTTATAGAATGAACAAGAAGTTTTGAAAAACTATTGTTCAGTGAAGTTCTGAAGCCTTTTACCTAATCAATATAAAACTGACACTTGACAGTATGTTGCTGCTTTTTTCAAGATGTATTGTCATTTCTTTTATTTTTTTCTATTTTAACAGTGCCCTTATGTCTGCCATTTGTTATATTTACTTACCAAAAAAGAAAATGGTGAGTATTTTCATTCTAGTTCCATTACATTCGTTGTATGGAATTAGCATTTGTTTTGGCATTTATAAAATTAAAATAACTGTTACTATTGGTTATATGACAGGATTCATTTGGCAGAAATTGCTTTGTAGTACTTTTATCTAAGATCATCTGCTTAATGGCTTTACTGAACTGGGTGTTTATATTTTTGATGTGTTTTAACATGAAATTATATGAACTAATAGTGGTTAGGCATAATCTTTTTCTTCTTTTTTTGAACCAAATGCATAAAACTTCTTTTCTTTACCTTTTCTAGTCAAACCATTTCGTGTGAGAAAGCTGCTTGATCTTCAAGCTAAAATCGTGAGTACTAAAAAAACCTGAGGCTAGCCAGTTTATACTATGAGCCTCATACTGAAGTAGGCTTTGGAGATACAAAATCAAATGTCATTATCTTAAAAGAACTTATTTTCTAGGGAGCTCAGTCAACCAAAAAAAAAAATCACAGTTAGGGCTGGGGGTATAGCTTAGTAGTAGAATGCTTGCCTAGCATGCATGAAGCCCTAGGTTTGATTTCCCAACATCACAATAAACAAACAAATAAATAAAGCAAGCAAGAAGCAGAATCAGACTGGGATCAAGGAGGAGAGGTGATGGTTGAATGAAATTTAATGGGATGAATAGGATTTAAATAGGCAAAGAATGGAGAGAAGGATACTTTTGCTAGAGGGAATAAAGATAAAGATATGTAGATGTCAAACAACAAAATATACTTTTAGGGAAGTGGGTTGTTAGGGCTAGAATACTAAGTATTAGGGAGTAGCCAAAGTGAATTTATAATTTTGTGGATATTTCTAGAAAACCATTTCAAGACATTTTCTACTAGATACTTAAAATGTAATATATTTTCTAACCATTATCTCTTGTCCTTATAGCTCTGTTGCATTGTTATTTCCACTATACCTGTCCAGTAACAGAGATCTCTGAAGCTTTGGAGTAGTGTTCATACCTAATTGAAGTTGTTATGGCCTATCTAAAGGCATCCACATTGAGTGAAAAACACACAGAATACACCTATGTTTCTCCAATATGAGGTTTCCTTTTAGTACATACAGTTCAATGATTGATCTTGTTTTATAGCCTCCTGTTTTGGTTCCATGAGTACAATATCTTCTCTTAGTTCTCTGAGGCTATTAATGATAATATTTTTATCCAAGTTGAATTTTATTTCACGTTGGTAGAAATTATGAAAAAAATGTATATTTTCCCATGCTACAGCAAAATATTTCAATGGAATAAGAAAATTCTTACCATAGTATAAGTTCTTGTTGATTTGTATAACTGAAACACAGTGTATATTCAAGGTAAAAAATGATTTAGTAGCTGGGCGTGGTGGTACATGTCTGTAATCCCAGTGGCTCAGGAGCCTGAGACAGGAAGATCATGAGGTCAAAGCCAGCCTCAGTGGCCTGGGGTTGTGGCTCAGTGGTAGAGTACTTGCCTAGTATGTGTGAGGCACTGGGTTTGATTCTCAGCACCACATGTAAATAAATGAATAAAATAAAGGTCCATCAATATCTAAAAAAAAAAAAAAGCCAGCCTCAGTTATGATGAGAGCACTAAGCAACTTCGTGAGACCATGTCTCTAAATAAAATACAAGCTAGGGTTGGGGATGTGGCTCAGTGGTCAAATGCCCCTGAGTTCAATCCTCAGTTACTGCCCTCACCCCCGCCCCCCCAAAAAAAGATTTAGTAGATGATTGTCTAAAAATTTTGAACCCAGATATTAAATGTATGGTTTCATTATTAACATTTAATCTAGTACACTGCTAAATTATTTCCATTATTGATTAATACCCATTTATGAAGATGTATTTATAACATTGTTTTAATTTTTTATTAACTTGGGCAAGTCCAAATATCAAATTGAGAAGACATATATATTCTCATGTGTAACCTACCCTGCTTGTAATAGTAACAGGTTACATGAGCAAATAGTTTCGTGAATTTCTGATATCAGCCAAGACTTGTATCCTGTCTATTCCCATCCATGCCCCATATATCCCAATATATGAAAGGAAACAAAAACAGTAATTGCCTTTCTGATGATAGGCATTAATGGTGGGAAGTAGAGCAGGCAAGTTATTCTCCCACATATACTGGGCTGTGTTGAAAGTGATCTTTGGAATAAGAAGGGGTATTAGATTTCATCGTAAGGGTTGATGAGAGTAGTTTCTGGGATTTTCCCTCAACCAAGGCATAATTCTTTGTGTATGCACTTTGGGCTGTGCTTTTTTTCCCTCTGTTTCCAGTTTTCTTTCTTTTCCCCCCCTTTTAAGATCAGGGACACTACCACTAGGTGATGTCCTCCATGCTTTTTAATTTTATTTTGAGATAGGGTCTCACTAAGATGTTGAAGCTGTCTTCAAACCGTGATCTTTCTGCCTCAGCTTCCCAAGCAGTTGGAATTACAGGTGTGCACCACTGTATCTGATGTCAGCTCTGTTTCTGTTTCCTTGTAGTTCTTTTTTTTAAAATTGTTTTTTAGTTATAGTTGGACACAAATATCTTTATTTATTTTTATGTGGTGCTGAGGATTGAACCCAGGTCCTCGCACATGCTAGGCGAGCACTCTACCACTGTGCCACAACCCCAGCCCTCCTCATAGTTCTTATTTGGTCTGTCTGTCTTCATAGTGGGTTTTTCTCAAATACTTGGTAAAGCTTATTTGTTTATATTTAATAGTAGCACTAAAATGGTAATTGAAAACTTCTGTGCATGAGCAGGACTTTGTAACATCTTGATGTCTCATGGGGGAGCCTCCCTAATGATTGTGCCAATTTTCCCAGAGAGATATTATCCTGTTTCCTGCTTGGGGGTTCTAGGGTTCTCCAGAGAAAGAGAACCAATAGGGTGTGTGTGGGGTGGGGGTGGGGGGTGTGTTTGGGTGTGGGTGTGTTGTAAGGAATTGACTCCTATGGTTATGGAGGATGGCATGTCCAAAATCAGTAGGATATGGTAGGCTAGCAGGCTGAAGACTCGGGAGAGCAGGTATTTGCAGTGAGTTTGAAGACAGTCGGCTATAGAACTCAGAAGAGTTGATGGTTCAAAAGAAATCTGAAAGTAGTCTGCTGGAAAAGTTTCTGTGTCTCAGGGAGATTGGTCTTCTTGTTCTATTCAGGCCTTCAACTGATCATTACAAGATCCATATACATTATAGAGGACAATCTGCTTTAAAGTTTTCCTAGTTAAATGTTATATTCATTCAGAACACCCTCAGAAACGCCCAAAAATACCTGGGCATCTCATGAACCAGCCAAATTGATACATAAAATTAACCATCATAGGAGTATAAACCTGGCTGTTGGCACTTGGGACCTAAGCAGTAGGAAGGAGCAAAGCGTGATTGGTCTTGGTATTCTCCCTTAGATGTGCTGGAATATAAGTCCTGCTTCATCTTCAGGGAGTGAAACACTAATGTTTTACCGGGATGGTGAAGGAATTTGGATTCTAACTTCTGCTTCTTTTTTTTTGGTACCCGGGATTGAACTCAGGGGCACTCAACCACTGAGTCACATCCCCAGCCCTTTTTGTATTTTATTTAGAGACAGGGTCTCATTGAGTTGCTTAGTGCCTTGCCATTGCCGAGGCTGTCTTTGAATTCACAGTCCTCCTGTCTCAGCCTCCTGAGCCTCTGGGATTACAGGTGTGTGCCACTGTGCCCAGACTAACTGCTTCTTTTGTAGGCTTTCAAGTGATCCTATTTTCTGTCCTCTTGAAACTCCACTTTTCAGAGGTATCTAGTCCTTCAAAATCTTGAGCCTTTCTGGAAGTTCACAAATATTAATCAGCTTCCTTTGAGGCTTTTTGTGTTGGTGCTTTAATTTTATACTATCTGTTTTGCTAACTTTTTACTATTTGCCCATCTTTATTTTAGGTTCCAAAATCTTGTTCAGGTCTCTCCTGTACTGTTGCCTCTTCTCTTGTTCTCCTTGAACTTGTGCTTTATGCCTTTTTCATTCCTTTACTGTGTTCTTAATGGCGCTTTGGCAGGACCTTAGGGTTAATCACATATTTCAGTATGCCATATTGAATTGAAAGTCTCCTACTTTTTAAATGTTAACTTTTTAAAATATATATGTGTGTATGTATGTATATATGTATATATATATATACATATATGTGTGTGTGTATATATATACATATATGTGTGTGTGTATATATATACATATATGTGTGTGTGTATATATATACATATATGTGTGTATACACACACACACACACACAAATATATATTTGTAGTTGGACACAATACCTCTATTTATTTATTTATTTTTATGTGGTACTAAGGATTGAACCCAGGGCCTTGCTTGTGCTAGGTGAGTGCTCTACCACTGAGCTTCATCCACAGCCCCTTAAATGTTAACTTTTCAATAAACAAATATAAGTTTAATTAAAAGATCTCTGCATTGCTGGGTGTGGTGGTGCATGCCTGTAATCCTAGTGGCTCGGGAGGCTGAGCAGGAGGATCACAAGTTCAAAGCGAGACTCAACAACTTAGGCCCTAAGCAATTCAGTGAGACCCTGTCTCTAAATAAAAATTTAAAAGGGGAGGTGGTGCTGGGGATGTGATTAAGTGCCCCTGGGTTCAATCCCTAGTATCAAGAAAAAAAAAAGGAAAGAAATTTAATAGACAGTATTTTAGAGGTTGGATAAAGGGAGGTTGGATTTGACCAGTGCAAGCTGTACGCATATATGGAAATATCACACTGAACTCAATTAATTTGTGTTAAATAAAAAATAAAAGATTTTTTAAAAGCAAATTTTAGCCAGGCATGGTGGTTCACACCACTAATCCCAGTTACTCAAGAGGCTAAAGGTAGCAGGATTGCAAATTTGAGACCCTCCTGGGCAACTTAGTGAAAACCTGTCTCAAAATAAAAAATAAAAAGGCCTGGTAGAGTACCCTTGGGTTCAATCCACAGTACCACACACACAAACACAAAAGACTTTAAATAAACTTAATTTTACGAAGCTTTTATAAAATAGGAATTATTGTATGCCTCATGACATTTTTGTCAACAATAGGCTGTACATACAATGGTATGTATCATATAGCCTGTATGTAGTAGACTGTACCATTTAGGTTTGTGTAAGTACATTCTGTGATGTTCCAATGACAAAATCACCTAACAATGCACTTTTCATAATATACCTCCATCATTAAGTGACACACTTCCGTGCTGTATTTCTAATGCCTATTTGCTGCCTTTGTACAGTATTAAAAGTTAGTGTGTTTATTAAGACTTTTTTTTTTTTTTGTAACATCAAGTTGCTTGACACTTGCAAACCGATTTTGAGATTTTTCTAGTTAGTTTTCCAGGATTTATGATAATCAGACATTATATTAATATTTCTTCTGTTTCCTTGGCTTCCCTTTTAGAACCCATCTCCTTGATGTCTGTCTGAATCATAGATGAGTAAACTAAGTCTTGAATATGTTACCAGTGAGAATAAGCCATGTTATACTAGCAAGTGTGACAGGCAAGACTAAGATATGGGTAGGGAAGAAGATAAAATAGGAAGAGAAGAGAAAAATAACAAGGAAGAAGTAGAACAGGCAGAAAGGTCATAAAATAGAAGTTCTCAGGTTGGAGAAGTTTGTTTTATGATGGTTGATTCAAATATGTGGTTACTTATTCCTTTATTTTCTGTAGCATCTTTCTATAGTTATATCATAGTAAAATTGGAATCTGAATATCTGTTTAATCTCATTTTATTATTAATTTTTCTTCTTCTTGGTATTTGTTTCCTCAATTTCTTACTGGCCACAAAATTGAAAATGGAAAATTCTTATTTTATTTCAGGGAATGCAACCTCATCTCCAAGCTTTGTTGTCACTATATAAGTTCTTTGTTCCTACTTTGATTTCTGTATCTCTGCCTGTAAGGAAGAAGGTAAGGGATTATGGAGAAATAAGTCATATGGAAGTTGAAATATATTATTTTTAGAAGTTTACAGATTTGGACTAAAATATTTATTGCTTACTGTTTAGATATCTAGTGTTATAGTACTATTAGGGGAAAGTTTTATTAGGGATTGGTATTTTGTGTTGTTCCATTTGGTGCATTTACTAGATTCTTGATTAGGAAAACACATTAAATGGATTTGTGTGGGAACAAAATCATAATTAATATGCTTTCAGTTAATGAAGAATTTTGTAGTTTATGTTTCTCCAACTTACCAGTACCCATTTCATTGTACTTTACGCCCAAAATTATAGATCTATTTTAAGAATTCAGAGAATATGTGGAATTCAGCTCTACTTGCTATGAGGCTAAGAAATCAGCAACCTTTTCCAGAACCTCTAAAACTGGTGTTGGGTTCAGCTAGTGTCCGTCCTCTAAAAAGAGTAAGTATCTGTACTCCAAATGACTTGTGTGCCTTTCTTTTATAAAATCCAAATAATAACCAATCAGACATTGGAGGAGATTATACAGATTTAAATTTAAATCCATTTTATTTATGCAGGATAGTATGGAAACTACATTCAGACTCCTTTAATTAAAACACCTTAACAACTGATTTTATACTTGTAATTTATAGTCTGTTTAGTCCATTGATAGATTGTTCTATTATCTTTTTCCTTTAGAAATTGAATTCTCACTCAGTTATACCTGTGCTAAATTCTGGTAGCTATACTAAAGAATGTGGAAAAAAAGAGATGAGTCTTTCTGATTGTCTCAGTCACAATAGATCCTTTCCACTAGAACAGCTTCAAAACTTCCCTCAACTCTTACAAAACATTCATTGCTTAGAGGTATGTTTATCTGCATATTCTATTTGACTTTCATGGCTTTTATTTTTGTTGTGTATTCCCTATATGATGATTTCCTTGTTGCCATGACCCACTTTTTATATACTAACTGCTGACGAGTTGTTTTATCTTTATAGCTGCCTTCTCAGATAGGCTCAGTGCTGAACAACTCTCTGCTACTTCACTATATTAACTGTGTCAGAGATGAGTCGATTTTATTGAGGCTCTATCACTGGTTGAGTCAAACATTACAAGAAGGTAAGAATTAACACTTAAAAACATTGAATAAATAAGAACAGAACAAGATAGTTTTCAAGTGAGTTTCTTTTATAAGGGTGCCAAATTCTAGACAAGAAGAGACTTCATAGGCTGTAATCGTTTCTCTGGTAATCATATATTCAAACCATAAATACTTCTGTTGTAATTTCAAGTCAATAAGAAAGTAGGGGTGTTGTTAAAGAAATCCTACTGGATGGCTACCAGAACTCGATGGTTGCCTCTACTTTGATGACCATCACAATCCAAGGCCTCCTTTTCCTTGCATACCCAGAAACTTGCCATCAGTTAGAGTATTAGGTTAATAAAACTAACAAATCAGAGGACACTAATGTATAAGCTAGAATGTCAAATTATTATTTTACAATAGAAAAGATTCTTTCTGATAACCACAATGTTCATATCTGACAACTAGAATATCCCTTTTTTGCCACCAGCATATATGGAAGACAGGTTTGTCATTAGAAGATTTCTTAATTATAGGATTAAAGGAAAGGGCAGTGAGAAGTCTTTCATCTAGGACATAGTAGAACCTGATCATTTCATTCCTCCAAAAGGAAATATTTTTCTAGAGATAGTCTTTCTGTTTACCAGAATGACTGTGTTTCTTTCCAGGATAAGCAACTTCTGACTCTTCAAGTATTTAAAGTCAGTTTTAGTCAGTTCCAGGCTAATTCTTCTACTCAGAGGCTTTCTTTAGAAAGGACATGATGTAATATATTAGATGTCCAAATAGTTAATTGTTACCACATGTAAATTATATCCAGTGAACCCTAATTTAAGCTTAGTGTATTCTCAAACTTTTAATCTGTACATTAGTAGTTTCTTGGATTACTATGTGATATAAAGCTAATCACATTCATTATATATGGATTTTTACTGTTTTTTTTTTTCATTATAAGCCTTCCCCTAAGCAACCATGTTTTTGAGGAGCATTTTATTATCACCTCCACATTCCTGTTACAATCTATAGTGTGAGTTGTCTAGAATGTGAGACAACTTTTTAAATGTGTCATTTATTTGTCACTTCAGAGTAGTGATAGTTATATTTTGTATGGTTTTTATTATGCAACCATATGCTTATGTTCACTATTTGTGATCTAGAATGTATTTGGTATAAGGTGAATAATTATGAACACGGAAAAGACTTTACCAACTTCCTGGACACTATCATCAGGGCACAGTGCTTCCTACAGGTAAGATTCCACTTGTTTTCTGCACACTCCACCACTCTTTACTAAAATTTATTTAGATGTCCGTCAAAAACTTTTCTTTAATACCTGACATCTTTTGTAAGCAACATTTGCTCAATATGAAATTCACTGTAAATAGAGCTGAGGTGGACTGATGTTTATCTTTGCTCTGTTGGATTTGAAGAAAGAATGTTACATTATTCAAATAAAAGGGAAAGGCTATCTATGATTCAAGAGAAAAACTGAAGATATCATTGAATGCATACAACTAATTGAATTAGCTGATAAAGTGAATCACATAGGGTCACTACTTGTGTTCTTGATAGCAGTAAACATTTTTTGAGTATCAAATATGTTACAGAAAATGGTCTATTTAGCTTGGGTAACTCTGAGTTGTATTTTAAGCTGTGTTATAGATATCATTGCCATCCCAAAGCCTTCATGCATCACCCAAGTCTGGATTAGCTACTTGTTTTACATGCCCCATTTCTCCCTATTCTTACCTGTGTCATGGCATTTTTAGGATCCATTTTCCCACATATTATGAGCTCCCAGAAGGCAATAACCATGTCTAACTTTTTTTAATGTTCTACTTGGTACCTAATTTGAAAGAGATGCTCAATGTTTGTTCAGTAAATCTTAGGGTATGAAACCATTTAGTTTGAAATTGGGTATGAACTATGGTAGGATAAAAGGAGCAATCTAGGTTGAGTTTTGGTTTTCCTGCTGGGAAGGATGGATGGTCTTCATTGAGAAAAGGAATATAGGATGAGCAGGCTCAGAAGAAAAGATGAGTTTGATTTAAGAGATGCCTTGGGATATCTAAGAGGTCATATCCAATAGGCAGTTAGATTAAGTCAAGAGCTCAGAAATGAGATTAGGGCTAAAGATAAAAATTTAGGACTCCTCATGATAAAGGTGGCATTTTGACTTTCATATGGATGAGATTCCCCAGAGATTTCATGTCATGAAAATAAGGTTTGTGATAGAGTCCCGGTGAATGCCAGTACTTAAGCCTCAAATGAAAAAAGGGAAACACTGGGTCTTTATTTTGGTGGAAATGTAAGCATCCTAGACTCTTGGGCTTTTCCAAATGGGGCTACTCAGAGTTTGGATTTGGTCTATGGCCCCTAATGAAATTCTAACCCTATTATATAACATTGTACACATTTTATTGACTATTCAAGTTATATTGTATATACTTAAATAATAAATTTCATTTATCCTTAAAAATATTATATTATTTGGGACTGGAATAGTAGCTCAGTGGTAGAGTGCTTGCCTAGCATGTGTAAAGCACTGGGTTTGATTATTAGCACTGCATATAAAAAGTAAATGAATAAAATAAAAGTCCATCAATATCTTTTTTTTTTTTTTTGTGGTGGTGGTGGTGCTGGGGATTGAACCCAGGACCTTGTTCATGCAAGGCAAGCACTCTACCAAATGAGCTATATCCCCAACCCAAAAGTCCATCAATACCTAAAAATAAATTTAAATATTCCATTATTTGACTTTTTACCTTTCTAATTTATAACATTTTATAGTGCTTGAAAACTATTGATAAAGATGGTAATGTATCTAAATACTAATCACCTCATCCTTTTTATTAGCACTTATGGTGCCTAAGACTTTTATATTATATATATATATATATATATAATTTTTTTAATTTATTTTAATTTTTTTGTGTGTGTGTGGTCCTAGGGGTTGAACTCATGGCCTTATGCATGCAAGGCAAGGACTCTACCAACTGTAGTATCCCAAGTCCGACCTTTATTATATTGATGACAAAAAAATTTGTCTTAAAGTGAAACAACCATAGCACAAAACAAAAATAAGCTGGTTTCCTAGAGAGTAATTATGACTAAGAGTTCCATGTAAGGTTTGCTATTGACTTGTATTTTAGGAGGGGTTTTATTCCTGTGAAGCATTCCTCTATAAGAGCCTTCCTCTCTGGGATGGCCTCTGTTGTCGGTCACAGTTCCTTCAGCTTGTGAGCTGGATTCCTTTTAGTAGTTTTTCAGGTATGTATCACGAAAACTTGGAGTCATTTAATTCAATGTAATATGAATTTAAAGGATCTTTAATATACTTTTTTTTTTAATTCCTAGAGGTGAAGCCACTTCTTTTTGACCATCTAGCACAGCTCTTCTTTACATCAACCATTTATTTCAAGGTAAAAAAAAAAAATGTCCTGCTTAATCTCAGTAAGAGGTATTGTTTATTACCAGTGGTACACAATTCCAAATTGATATTATAGCACTGATTTTTTTTTTGAACTTTGAAGTGTTAAATTACTCAATTCAAAGTTAACAGAATTTTCTGCTTTTAATGTTTTGTTTTATATAGTTTTCCTGGATTGTTTCCATTTGTAGCAAATGACAAAGTGAATGAATGTGGCAAATGTGTACTATTATTATTATCATCATCATCATTATCATCATCTTCATCATCATTAGAACTGGGGATTAAACCTAGGGCCTCACACATGCTGGGCAAGTGCTCTACCACTGAGCCATATTCTTATCCTGCAAATGTGTATTAATAAAAACAAACTGGGAAGTACTCAACTGTACTTAGATTGATTGTTGTGGTTTGTGTTTTTGTAGATAATGCTTAATTCATTTCACAAATATTCATTGAGCATCCACTGAAACCGAATTTTTTAGATGAAACTTGAATCCTTCTGCTGGTGGCTGGGGTCTGTGTAAGGTTGCAGGCCTCTGCAGCAGAAAAGTATTGCAGCTATTAATGGTGGGTCATGCTCTCCAGTGTTTCAGCAGACCCCAGCAGCTCACCATTAGTTTCTTCTTTCTGGGTTAGCAGCCAGGAAGCCATGTTACCACTATATACTAGGCACTCTTCTTAACACTGGGAATATATAAACAGCATATAGTGACCAAAGCAAACAGACTCCTTGGGACATTCATATTATGTATTTATAATTTAGTCATTTTCTGCTAATAAAATTCTTCAAATCTTATTTGATAAAATTAAATATGTTACTATTTTGGGGGTGGTCTCCAAAAAGACCACTGTGACTTTCAAGAGCTCTACCTGGATGAGTTGAGGCACTTTCTTAAAGAATAGTTATTTCACTTCCAAAAAAGTGATAACGTAAGTAGTGTTTCTTTTACAACTTATTTTCATTTAAATCACTTAATGTTATAGGAAAAATATGTCTTCTGATTAGCATTTGTCATAAATGAATCATACATTATTTCTTAAAATTTGATGTTTTTTTTAAATTAGAGTTTTATGGTTATACATAATAGATGGATTCATCCTGACAAACTCATACATGCATAGAAATCAATTTTGGTTCATGACCCTCCCAATTTTCCCTCTTGTCCTCCGTCCCCTCTCATTCTCCTTACTCTACTCTAGTAGACTTCTTTTCTCTCATCTGTTATTTCGTATCATTTTATCCTTCCCTCCCCTTTTCCTTTATTTTACTCTAGCTTCTGCATATGAGATAAAACATTTGACCTTTAAGTTTCTAAGTTTGGCTTATTTCACTTAGCATGACATTATACTCCATTTTCATCCATTTACCATCCATTTTCAAAATAGATTCTGATAATTCTCTGGATTTCAGAGGGTTCTGCAGTGATAGGTCCATTTTCATCTCTGATCCTATTATTTGCTTCTTACTCTGTCTTTTGGTTAGTTTGGCTAAAGGCTTGTCAATTTTATTTTTTCAAAGAACTAACTCTGTTACATTGATCATTTGTATTATTCTCAATTTCATTGATTTTTGGCTCTGATCCTAATTATTTCTTGTCTTCTGGTTTGGGGGTTAGTTTGTTCTTTTTCTTTTTTTTTAATATTTATTTTTTAGTTGTAGTTGAACAGAATACCTTTATTTTATTTATTTTTCTGTGGTGCTGAGGATCGAACCCAGGGTCTTCCACGTGCTAGGCATGCGGTCTACCACTGAGCCACAATCTCAGCCCCATTTGTTCTTCTAAGACCTTAAGGTGGAGCATAAGCTTATTTACTTGGACGCTTGCAAATTTTTTAATGTAGACACTCAGTAGTGTCTATGAATTCTCTTAGGACAGTTTTCATGCTGTCCCAGAGATTTTGGTATGTTTTACCTTTGTGTTCGTCTCTAAGAATTTCTTGATTTCTAGTCTCATTTCTTAGATCCGTTCTTCATTTAAGAAAATTTTGTTTAATCTCCATGTGTTTGTATAGTTTCTATTATTTGTCTTGCTGTTGATTTCTAGCTTCATTCCATTATGATGTGATAGGATACATGGGATTAGATCAATTTTTTATATTTGCTAAGATTTGCTTTGTGGCCTAGAGTATGATAAATATATTTTGGTAAATGTCCCATGTACAGCTGAAAAAAAGGTAAATTAAGCAGTTTTGGGGTGGAATATTCTGAAGATGTCTATTAGGTCCATTTGATTTATAGTGTTTAGGTTGGAAGTATCTTTATTGATTTTTTTTGTTTTGATGTCTTTTGGTGATAAGAGTGTATAGAAATTCCCCAGTATTATTGTGTTGGGGTCTATGTGGAATTTAATGTCATGGAATATTTTTTCATGTAATTGGGTTTGTTGACATTTGAGGTATAAATGTTTACTATGGTTATATCTTCTTATTGGATTTCCCTTTACTAGGACATAGTGGCCTTTGTCTCTTCTGATTAAATTTTTGCTTGAAATCTGCTTTGTTTGATATGAGAATAGCTACTACTCCTTGATTTGTTGGACCAGATGCCTGGAATAGTTTTTCTACTCGCTTTTTACCTTCTTCAGCACGTCAATGTCTTTACCTATGAGTCTCTTGTAAACAGCATATAGTCGGATCTTGTTTTGTGATCCATTCTGTTAATCTGTGTCTTTTAATTGGAGAGTTGAGACCATTAACATTCAGCATTAGTATGCATATGTTTGTGTTTTTCTCCATTTATTTTTTTGCTATATTTTATCCTGTCTTGATTCTCATTTACTGAATTATTCTTCTATTGAACGTCTTTTGTGGACTTTGGGAATTATTTTTTAGTTCCTCTGTATACAATTTATCTTTGAGTATTCTTTTAATGCTGATATGGTCCTCATGAATTTTTAAAATTTATTCTTGTTGAAGAAAGTTATTTCCTCCTTGAATTTAAAATTGACTTTTGCTGGGTGTAGTAATTTTGGCTGACGGTTTTTTATTTTTAATTTGTTCTAATTAGTTATACATGATAGCAGAATGCACTTCAACTCATTGTACACAAATGGAGCACAAATTCTCATTTCTCTGGCTGTACACAATGCAGAGTCACACTGTTTGTGCAATCATACATGTACATAGGGTAATAATGTTCATCTCATTCTACCACCCTTTACACCCCACATCCCCTCCCTTCTCTCCCTCCCCTCTGCCCAATCCAAAGTTCCTCCAGCCTTCCCTAGCCACCCACCCCCACCCCCCCATTATGGATCAGTGTCTGCATATCAGAGAAAACATTTGGCCTTTGGTTTTTTGGGATTGGCTTATTTCGCCTAGCATGATATTCTCCAGCTCCATCCATTTACCTGGAAATGCCATAATTTCATTCTTCTTTAAGTCTGAGTAATATTTCATTGTCTATATATGACATTTTTTATCCATTCATCTGTTGAAGAGCATCTAGGTTGGTTCCATAGTTTAGCTATTGTGAATTGACCTGTTATTGTGAATTATGCTGATTTTAAGTCCTTTGGATATAGACCAAGGGGTGGGATAGCTGGGTCAAATGGTGGTTCCATTCCAAGTGTTCTAAGGAATCTTCATACTGCTTTCCAGATTGGTTGCATCAATTTGCAGTCCCACCAGCAATGTTCGAGTCTACCTTTTCCCCCATATCCTTGCAAACACTTGATGCTTGTATTCTTGATAATTACCATTCTGACTAGAGTGAGAGGAAATCTTAGAGTAGCTTTGATTTGCATTTCTCTAATTGCTAGATGCTGCAGTCTGACTGGGCACAATTCACGAGCCACTTGTCAAGCACAAATGAACTTTATTTTTAGAACACACACACCTTATTTTTAGAACACACACACACACACACACACACACACACACGGCACCACAGAGCTCTTCAGGAATTTCTCAGAGCCCAACTGCCACCACTGGCTTCTGGCAAGCCTCTCAACCCCCACTCCTCCCGCTCTTGAGGCCGATTGGCTGGGTCGTGTGGGCGGAGCCAAAAGAGTCCCCCAATGAGCAGCTCCCTGGTCTGAAAGGGCGGGGAAACAGCCCAATGAGCATCACCGCAGAGGAGCCAATCAGCTGGCAGCTGGAAGTTTGCTAGGGCCACAGTGAGCCAATCAGCTGGAAGTTCGCTGGGGCCGCTTTGGCTGTGGCTCTCAACATCTAGAGATGTTGAACATTTTTTCATATATTTGTTAATTGATTCTGTGAAGTGTCCAATTCCTTAGCCCATTTATTGATTGTATGTTTTTTTTGTTTGTTTTGGTGTTGAATTTTTCAAATTCTTTATCCTGGAGATTCATGCTTTATCTAATGTGCATGTGGTAAAGACATGTCTCTGGTTGTTCACGAGTCACACCAAGTACATGTCTTCATACAAGTACTGAGGGGAATGATGTCCATTTCATTACATCATCTTTCCTACCCCCATGTCCCCTCCCTTCCCCTCTCTCCTCTTTGCCCTATCTAAAGTTCCTCCATTCCTCCTATGCTCCCCACCCATCCCCATTATGGGTCAGCATCCACATATCAGGGAATACATTTGGCCTTTGTTATTTTGGGATTGGCTAACTTCACTTAGCAAAATATTTTCCAACTCCATCCATTTACCTGCAAATGCCATGATTTTATTCTCTTTTAATGCTGAATAATATATTATTGTGTATATATACCACATTTTCTTTATCCATTCATCTACTGAAGGGCATCTAGGTTGGTTCCACAATTTAGTTATTGGGAATTGTGCTGCTATAAACATTGATGTGGCTGCATCACTGTAGTATGCTGTTTTTAAGTCCTTTGGGTGTAAATGAGGAGTGGGATAGCTGGGTCAAATGGTGGTTCCATTCCCATTTTTCCAAGGAATCTCCATACTGCTTTCCATATTGGCTGCACCAATTTGCAGTCCCACCAGCAATATATGAGTGTACCTTTTTCCCCACATCCTTGCAAACACTTCTTGTTGTTTGTATTCTTGAT